CTCCCAAGTAACAAGCGATAGGATGAGAGGAAATGGCCTCAAGTTGCACCAGGGGAGGTTTAGATTGGACATGAGGAAAAATTTCTTGACTGAAAGGGTTGTCAAGCATTGGACCAGGCTGCCCAGGGAAGTGGTGGAGTCACCATCCCTGGAGGGATTTAAAAGACGTGTAGATGTGGTGCTTAGGGACATGGTTTAGTGGTGGACTTGGCAGTGTTGGGTCAACAGTTGGACTTGATGATCTTAAGAATCCTTTCTAACCTAAATGATTCTATGATTTTAAGGGTGCGTTCTCAGATTACAGTTTTGTTGTTTTAGGGACCAGCACCTTGAGAGAGCAGCAAATGAAATACTACAAAGAAGTAAAAGGGTTGTCCTTAGAGGATATTTTTAGGAAATTCCAAAAATTAAAATGAAATCACTTTCTAAACAGAAATATACATGTATAATTAGCAGAAATTAAAGAATGGATAAAAATGCAAGCAAAAGGAACAGATGTGCTAATGAAATGCAATTTGTAATACAATTGCACAAAAACAGATTTTAAAAGAAAAGATTTTTGTCCTTCTGTAAATATTAAAGTAGTTGCTGGTGTAATAGAGAAAATGACAAAAATATTTATGAAAATCTGATTTGAATTTGAGTTAATGTTAGGGAATATCTGTTGTGAACTTTGCATATGTTTATATGTGTATTTCTATAGAATTTTTGAATATATAAACCCTTATTATTTTATGAGGAGATTACCACTGTGTGACTTTAGGTCATATTTGAAGGACATTTTTCTTTAATTTGTGGACAGGAAAGCTCTATTTCTGAGACAATAATTTTTTTTTTAATAATGTTTTGCATATCTCTGTTCCCAAAATCTTGTGCCTCTTTTTGGTATGCTTTCCTCTTCCACTTTTAAATGATACCCAGGCTTGGGTTCTCAGAAGGTAAATTAGATTCAACTCTTGACTTAGTGGTAGAATAATGAAAGTAAAAATGTTGTCTCTAGAATGTCATATTCATTATTCGGCCCGTGCTGATTTGACAGTACCTTACCAAACCTTCCTCTCTGCAACTTTGAGCTTTTTTGTCTGAAGTATTTTTGTTGCCCTTGAAACCACTTACCTTAGAAAGATGCTAGAATTCTTTAAAGCTTATTGAAAGATGGAAGTTCTTTAAAAGAGGGAAACAAATACAAACAGTGTTGGAAAGCAACATTTCCTGTAATAACTTTCTCCGTATCCAGGTCTAGAAGGTTGCCTTGCTTCCTTACTTGTAGTCCAGCACTTTCAGAATTCCTCAAATTAGTGGCATGACATCTCATTCTACCTGTCAGCTAGTTTAGATCCTGATTTGAATATTCACTGTTAGCAATAACTGCAGAATCCTGTGATGTGTCTGACTGTGTATGATGTGTCTGATTTCCATCGTGTAATTCTTTATTCCTCTGTGGTGATTTTTCATCATATAATAAATCCCTGGAGTTGTGTTCTTTGTGCTCCCAGGCATAGACACAAGGGGTTAACAAGGTTCAAAAATCTAACATTTTCTGATGTGTTTATTTGAGAAAATAAAAGTAGGGTGTTTAATACTTGCATTTAATTATAATCTCACAGTAACATTCATAATTCTTTCGGGGGATTTTATACATACATGTGTAATACGATGAGTAGAATTTTCCTGAACTACATCAATTATTTAATATTGGCCAGAGGTTATTAAATACGAAGGGAAAATGGCTTTTGATTAAAGCTACCTATGGATATTGCTCTGTATCCTATCCAGTCCAATATTGTTCACTCAGTTTCTTTTCAATTTCAACTTTTTATAACAATAACTGAAATGATCTCTTGTCTAATATAGCAAATCATTTAAGGGACAGCTCTTGAAAGATGACATGAAACTGATTATTTGCAGTTGCAAAAGGGTACTGAAATGAAAATAAGAGTGAAATGACATTTCACTTAAAACTATGCTTGACTCTTAGAATAGAGAAAGAGGAATGTGAAATGAATGGAATAAAATTTGGCCTAGTTCAATGTATAGAAGACCAACTCTGTACTGATTAATTGCAAGAGAGCAATTTGTGAATGTTAAAACCCTGGTCTAAGTTTGAAATAAATAGTTTTAATACGATTAATATCTTTTGATGTTGTTGTTTATTGTTATTATTATTTATGCTTTGATATTGCTATGATAACCTAGAGGGCTCCTTCTCTCCTTTACAGAAGGGGAGGAGACTGGAGTGATGGATAGCCTGTTGGAGGCCTTGCAATCAGGTGCAGCTTTTCGAGACCGAAGGAAAAGGACACCAAGGTCTAAAGGTGAATATTCTATTTTACATTTTATGTTCCAGAGGAAGTTAAAAGCATTATGAGTCCAGTGCTCTAGAACTTAAATGCTATCAGGTTTAATTCTTTCTTGCAATGACAACTTTCAGGGATGTTCAGGCTGTTTTGCTGAAGTCAGCAGCGTTTTGGAGATTAATTTACTGAACTTAGCTTAGCCTGATTATTATGACAAGAGTCTTTGATACAGCCACATGTACTTTAACTTTTTAGGGTTTCTAGTTGAATGGGGGAAGGAAAAGTCATCTTGCCCCATAAGTGAATCAAATTATTTCACTGGTATATAACTGTCACTTTACTCCTAGAAATATCTTAACTTCTAAATAATTCTGCTTAGTAATGTTGTTACAATACTCCAGTAACTTTCAAAGATGTGTTTTATTTCCATTGTTTCCTTGTTTTTCCAGACATACCACAAAATCTCAGTCCAACCACACAGAGGCCTGTGCTGAAAGCTTGTAACCATGGTAATGAACCGTATTCATGAATTGCATGCTGCTCTTAGCTAATGTAGTTGATCTGTGTTTTCAAAAGACTGCTGTGATTTTTTTTCAGTTTTCTACATTTGTGGAATACTGAAACCATATTGGAACCTGCTTTTTAAGAATCACCTGAATATTACATCCTGAAACTATACTTACTGATTACTTTGCAAAGGTCTTCTATCTTTTGTGGGTTTTTTATTTATTTAACATTTGGTTATGTTTTTAAATGTGGTACTTCTATAATCCTTAAGAACAATTATGCAAGGATTTTTTTAATGGATTATGGAACTATAATAGAAAGCAGAGATTGCAGAACATTTTAAATGTTACTAAGTGTTTATGATACCGAATCAGAGAACTTTTTGCATTCGTTCTATTTTTCTTTGTCTTTGTTTTCTTGATACTATAGCTGGAATGGTTTAAGCTGTCATTTACCAGTATAATTCAAAAGGGATGTTGTATCAGCAAAGTAATAGTAAATTCATCAGTTACTTCATGGCAAAATATTTCTCCAAATTTTGAGCATGAGTCTTGTGCATATGTTTATTCATAAACTCCTGAACTATCTCACTGAAATCAGTAGGATTTGCTCATATGTTGAAAGTTGCAATGAGGGTGTGTGTGCTTTTTAGATTTGTTTGTTAGACAATATACAGAATATTATCGTATTAGCTGTGTTTTAATTAAGCTTGAGGAGTCCAAAGTGACTGTTTCCAGTGGCTCATAACTAGTAGTTTCAGGAAAAAGTTTATACATGTAGTACCTCCATTAAAGAAAAATTTTCATTGAAACTTAAAGAAAAAAGTATCTCCTTTCTTAGTTTTGTAGGCAGAATGCATTATCCTTTGATATTTAAATGCACTGCAGAGTTTATAAAGCAGATGCCATCAAAATGACGATATTAATTATACCTCATGTTTAAGTGTTTATTTCTTAAGTGTATATATAGCAAAAAAAAGAACATACAGAATTTGGCATTATTAAACACAAAATTAAAGAAAATAGAGCTGGAAGGACAGTTGAAAGATAATTAATTCACTTAGAAGAATTGGCTCAAAGAAAAATCAAGTATATTTGACAGGTGCTTGTCTAGCACATAACATATTGATATTTCAATAATGACTACAGAGCACATCTGAATTTGTCCTATAAGTGTTTCTGCTTGTAAAAACAATTATGTTGAATGTTGCTTCTTTTCAACCCATTCTATCTATCTATCTAGCCGTCTGTGGACAGACAGTGTAGTTTCCGGTTTTCAAACTAACTGTATTTGGACAAACATTAGAGCTATGTTTTATGTTTCAGGTTAAAAACAAAATACAAAAAACAAACCAAAAAAACTCCCAAGATTTTAATTCTGCAAAATCTTAGTCTAACCCAGGGACTGATTTGTACAGCGGATGGATATAATTTGGTACTGAAGTTTGAAGTTCAGGCATTCGATTTGGAGATAGGAGTAAAAGTAAACTCTTGGATTTTTTGTTGTTTTTACCAAAGTCGGTATTTCCATAGAGCATTTTGAGACAATCTGATTCTAAGACAAAAATGAATTCAGTTTTTCTTTCACCTGTCTTGTTAGCTCAGGAACAGGATAATACAACCCTAAGCTTGCTTTTAAGGAATTCATTAGTATGTTTTTGATTTGTTGACACTTGTCACAATACCTACATGTTACACAATACTACATGTCACAATACTACGTTACATCTTCCTATCTTGAGCTAGAGCACTAAATTTGGTGTAGATTATGGTGAGTTCACTTATCAAAGCCTTTTTGGCTTTTTGATAGAAATATATGGTCATTGGTTACTCCGAGTATATCTTTGAGGTGAACTTTTTCTTTTTTTGCTCTTCAAACTCTGTGTAGGCAAGTTGAGAATTTGCTTTTAATAATTTATTTTGTTATTGGGAAATCAGAAATTATGTAGGTTGTGTACTATGTAGAATGAATACTAGACCCTGAGTATCAGAGTTTATTTTTAGGTAATAATAACCTCACTGAAGCTAATGATGTGGCCAGTCAAAGCAAGAATTATAATGATAAAGTTTCTTTAATTTTCTGTTTCTGAGTTTAACAATGTATAATGTCAGGGGTTTTTCAGTATTATCCTCTATATAATTTTTTGTTGCACTTTATATCTAATACAGATGCATATGCAATAACCTATTCTTTCTATGTATATGTGTATAATAAGTGATGAATACTGTATATAATGGTTTATTACATATACACTGTATAAGCAAGAAGTCTGTGATTTCAGCCCACTTCAAAAAAATTGGGATATGTCGTTAGACAGAACTATTGGCTTGGTCTTTCATTGATTTGCTGTTTTTCCCAACCTAAAATTTCAAATGGATGCTAAATGTTGTATCATGGCAAAAAAGCCACCGGCTTACTCTAAGCTTAATATATGTGGAGATCAATGAAGTCCTCAAGCAGCAATTCAAGCACTTTCCTTCTTTGCTTCTGTACTGGGTTTGGCTGTTTGGGTTAACTGATAACTGGTTTCGTTACTGCTTCTTCTGATGAGTCTAACAGATTCACTTAATAGTAGATATACTTTATTAATACACACTGCAGATTCATACCTAGGATGAACTTCTTGGACTCATCGCGCAGTCAAAAAGAATTACAAGCCATAACTTGAAATGTCTGTCCTCTGAATCATTCAGAGTGTAGCAATCTCTGTTGGGCAGATTCCATCGAGTTCTAGCTAATCTTTTCTGTTTCAAAACAAAACAAAAACAAACTAATAAAAACTGTTTTAGTCTTTATGATTAAAGATATTTCTCTAAAAAAGTGGAATAGAAATCAGACCCCAGCATAGATGGGAACTAGAAAGTAGTGGCTCCATGTCTGACAGGTGATGGCAAGGGAGAGAAACACAGCCAGAATGCACACTTTCTCCATAGCTGTAACATAAGTGGAAGCAGGAAGGATATCTCTTTCACCATTGCCATTGTCATCCTCAGTATGATACTGCTCAAGGTACCAAACTGTCACTTGCTCGTGAGGCTGAGCCAAGCCCTATAAAACAAAGTAATACAGAGGAGCAAGCCAATGCTACTTAGCTCTAGAACTGAGAACTGAAATTGTTTCCTTTAACTAAATGGACTGCTTAAGAATAAAAAGGAGGAATAGTAAATTTAGTGGAACGTTAGCCATTGGTTGGCCATCTTTCTCTTCATGATCTGTCGAGCTCCCCAGAAAGCTGTGGTAGTGTTCAGCTGATATTTCTGATTAAAAAGGAGTACTGGTTCTCATGCTGCAACCCAGGGTAGCCTCTTGGGTGCGTTATTTTATTTTCAGTCCTACTGCACTCTTCTTTTATTGAACAGATTGCCTCTTTCTAACATGTTATGTGTTTTTTGTCAAGTTTAAATCTACTCTATTTCTGTGATCAGAATTACCGATCATATTTTTCTGCTTTTGACAAGGCCCATCAAGTCGGATAATTTCTTGCTGAGGAAAAGCCCTGCTGCATAGAAATAATATACATTTGGAATTGCTAGAACTTGGAAATGTTCTAAAACCTTAAGGATACAAATAATTTTCACTAGATTTCTGTTGACATATATATGATTGGTGTATTTATTTCCTTTGTTTCCATCCATGGTGCTTTGTAGTTTTAAATTAACAACTGAATTGCATATATGTTCAAAACTACCTGTTAATGTCACAGTTTGCTTTAACTGGAAAGAGCCATAAACTGCAGTAAATATTGTGGTATATGCTTTTGCTGTAATTCCCATTCTGAGCACTGTATGACACAAGTAGAGTATTAGTATAGTTTTAGTGTTGTATTTCGGTAAGGTTTTGATTCAGTAGCATCTAACAGGGGAGCTTTTTTATTTTATTTAGGGAGCAGAAGAAAGCACTTAATTTTCAATGATCAGGATTTTGCACATTAGAAGATCATTTCAAGCAGCTAATAGCTATGGCTGATCTGAGTTTATCAGTTATTTACAACAACAGTCAAGGCATATTTGCATCTTGCACATTTATTTCAAGCTAGTTAAGTTCAAATACACATAGCAGCATATCCAAGGCAGCACAGAAAGCTGCATTACGCACTAAGTTTTCGGTCAGGCTTTGCAGCCTGCATCAAGTTCTCTGCTGCTATGGCTACGCATTTATTTGCAGTAGCATTAGCCAAGGTAATGTTATCTGAAATGCATGAATACAAATTCAAGATGCAGCTTTGATTGCATGTATATATACCTCAAATGCAGCAGAAAGTGTTTTTCTTTACAAGTAGGTTATAATCAAAATGCTGTGAGTAAAGAAAAGCTATAATAAAATGGAAGTTAAAAAATACGGATTGCTTTTTGTGACTGCAAAGGTTGAAAGAAATCTTTCTGTTGTAATCAGTAATTGTGTTGTGGACTATACTTCCAAAGGTAACAATAAGGTCCTGTTTCTATATTCAGATCAAACTTCCATGGTGAGAGATAGTCGTAATTACTATATCTGTTTGTTCAGTAAATCTATAAACAATAGAATAATTTTCATGTCACATTTAGTCTGAACCATTTTAAACACCTCTGTTAAATAAAATCCTTGTCAAGCAATGTCATTCTGGTCCCAGTTAAGAAGAAAACCCTTTTTTCATGTTTGTTGGGTTTTTTTCATCCCTTATTCATAATAGAACTGTCATCTGACATTCATGTTAGTGTCTCTGCTACCTTATTTTTGACAATCATAGCTGAAAATGAGCTCAGGCTCATCTTAATTCTTGAAACCGACAGTGCAACCACTTAGAGGTCACTATTTTATTTCATCATTGCTGTATATGACAGCAAACTATGATTGTCATTTCAACCTAATTTTTCCTTATTTTTTTCTTACGTCTGTGTATGTTGCTGTCTTTTCCACAACTGTATGTAGTGAACATTAGGGAGTACCTAACACTGGAGAAACAAAGAAACCTGTGAAGATAACTTTTTAGCCAGTACATATTAGTAGTAAAGATGCATTCTTG